GATAAGAAGTGAAATAAGAAAATTAAAGCGAAAAATTAAACATATGATAACATTAAAAATAAGTGGAAAATCATCTATAATATGATCAAGACCATTGTGAGTACGAACATTGAATAAAAACACTAAGAGGCGGTTTTAGTTGATATATTGCAACACAGCAGGGAGTTCCACACCACCGGGGAAGGGAAAAATTTGTATCCGTGTGCATATATTAGAAATAGGGGGTACACAAATCACACAAATACAAATAACCATATCCTCAAAAAAATCGTAAAAGGGATCTCTACTTTAGGTGTACGTAGGCTAACATAACCTACTCATCTCTCTGTTTCTATTAAATCTAGCTGACAGGTAATTTCCACGAAGGTTGCCTATCTATCGCATAAAAATCGACCCTAATGTATTTGAAATGAACCTTAAATTCTACAGAGATTTTTTAAAAGGAATACATACGTATAATATACTCGTAGATCAAAGCATTGGATACTTATATCGGATTTTGTCTAAAATAGCATGCTCAATATACAGTGTGGGCCGTTAGTGTGTGGGTGGACGATTGTGGGTTTATTAACGCGCATATTTAAAATTCATTGTGGGTGAATGTTGAAGGACCCTTAAAGCTACAATCTAAAAATATTTTCACCGAAATTGCAATTGTTATATAGGGTGATTCATATCAAAGTTGTATTTTTTTAAATAGAACCCCTGCATATTATTACATATTTGGATTCCTTGGTCAATTTTAGTGTGACTTTATGTATTACACATGATATCTAAAATGAGTAGTTTAGCCGCAATTCGTCGTTTTTTAAAAAAGTAGATGTCCAGTAAAAATTGAATATCGCAGTTATCATAAAACTTAGAAGGCCGAATTGCGGCTAAACTACTCATTTTAGATATCATGTGTAATACATAAAGTCACACTAAAATTGACCAAGGAATCCAAATATGTAATAATTAATAATATAGAATGTTCCATTTAAAAAAATGCAACTTTAATATAAATCACCCCGTATAACAATTGCAATTTCGTTGAAAATATTTTTAGGTTATAGCCTGAAGGGTCCTTCAACATTCCCCTACAATGAATTTTAAGTATGCGCGTTAATACAACCACAATCTTCCACCCACCCTGTATTTGAAAATATTTGGTTTATTACAATTTCTGAATGAAACACGACCACAAATTCAATACGTGTTCAAACTTTAATCCATACAAGAACAAAAAATTAAATACATTCATAACCGCTGTGTTTAAATTCTGAATTATCATAAGTTGGTGGGAGATGCCATACATAAAGATGCTAAACCCTGGTATCCTTTTGTTATCGTTTATTTAATCCTAATACTCAATTTACTATAAGGATTTCTTCTTCCTTTGCAAATATTTTAGCATTTATGAATAATCTTGCACTTTAAATTTTAACTCTCATTTGTTTATAGACGTTCTCTAACTCTGGCGGCATTTTCACATTAAACGAAAGGATCACGTCTTCCAAAAGAGGACAAAAACAAAATTTGGTTCGCATAATATGACGACCGGAAAACCAGTTTCTATGCATTACGAAAATATGGAAACGTTTTATCCTTCCTTTTCTCATATATTTCCAGCATTTAAGGTTAAGGCCACTTTACAATCGAAACTTGGCAGAGGAACAACAAACACAAAAAAAGGACGATGAAACTGTATCCACTTGAAAGTTTACTCTACTGTGTAACACATTATTCATAGTTTTTTTCTACATATACAGCGAACATATGTAACATATCGATTTATGTAAATCAATTAAATGTAAAATAGTGAAAGTCGTTAACAAGAACGCAAAAAGATTACAACGGCTAAAACCGTGCATCAATAGATTAGTTTCCAAGACAAAGACTAATCGCCTTGCAGCTTAATCTGTCCGCAGTGTTTTATGGTTTAACAAACGAACATTGTACTATCGAATCAATAATTATAGAGGGAGCATTCTGCAGTTTTTGTTCAGGATAAATTAAATCAATAATTGGCACAGTGCACTTTTACTAATTGGTTTAATTAAATAAAACTGGAAGCTTTAATTAATTATTGAAATGCACACTGTTCATTAAACGTTTAATGATAATAATTTGGGTTAGACTTTCTTCAAACGCTTCGATCAAATTATAACAAATCTTTAGTTTAAATTTGATCTACCCTATACATTACTCTACAGGGTGTCCTATTTTCGATGTCTCGATAGGGGATAGCTAGGAAAATAAATTTGGTAAAAAATAGTCCAATGTGTTTCAAGATACCTCACCTATTTTTATAACAATTTTTGCACTGTGCGGTTTCTATAAAAACAAGTAAAAAGGTTTTCGCCCTAAGGCGAGGAACTTCAGCGCATTTTCCATAAATTGATCAATACTTCCCCAATGTTCTTCATTACTAGATCGTTAAAATTTGAAAAAAATATCTTCATAAATAAGGAAGTTGACACTTACTGCGCAGTTGATATTGCGCGTCCTGCGCATGCTCTTATTAATCTGATATTTACAATATGCAATACGTTTCCTTTTACTATAAGCATCTTTGGTTAAAATTTCAAAGAAATATCTCCATAAATAAGAAAGTTGGCATTGCGCAGTCTGAGCATGCGCACATTTGATTTTTACTATATGCGATATATTTGCCTTTATTACAAATATCTGTGATTAAAAGTTCAACAAAATATATTAATAAATCAATCGCAGTTCAATCGTCAAGATTTCTCTTGACTCAGGTGCCAGAGTGATACGCTACCGAATGCAAAAAGAACGAACTAAATATCTTGAAAACTGTAGGAGTAGTTAAGGCCTCGGACAGGCGGACGGACAGAGAAAGTGGCTGCAATAGCGCACCCAACTTCGTTGGAAAATGCGCTAAAAAGTGAATAGGATCTTCCTGAAAAAAAGTAATCGTAAAACTTTCAAATTTTGTCACACAGCCGACGAAATTCCGATATTCGCCGAGCGCTGCTGACATCACTACGCAAGTTGGCGATCGGGAGTTAGTGTATAACAGGTAAGAATCGTGTATTGATTCGATTTAGAATCCAAAAAAATGAATTCTGACGGGTTCCCAAAAGGGCAGTCATGAACAGATTGGCCCGTATGAATAAAATGAAGCATATGCTTATACTTGCAAAATTAAAAGTAAATACTCGGAAGTGCCCCTTCATACTGGTCTGTTTAGCAGCGCTGCACTGCGTCCTGTCCTGCTGCTCAGCCGCGCTGCTAAGTCGCCCAGTGTGAAGGAGCACTTACGAGTATTTACTTTGAATTTTGCAAGTATAAGCATATGCTTCATTTTATTCATACGGGCCATTATCACAAAGAGCGATTGGGACGTCTGGAAGAAACATATCCATTGGGGATGTCAAAATTAATAATTATAATTTTTCTAGCGCACGTCCAGCCTCCGCTACAACGAAAATTTCGCTATTGACGTAAATTTTATTAACTTAATAAATTAAGCAGCCTCAATTCCAAAGAATTAATTAACACATTTTTAATTAGCACCTGATATAATTCTGGGTGTAAAATAAGAAAATTTAACATTAAAACTCTTCTCTAGGTCGTAATTTGGGTTCGATGAAACACAAAACAAACCACTTACAGATGCAATGAATTTATTCGTGATCAATCAATCAAATCAGCTAAAAGAAATTTCGCTATACGCACTCAGGGCCAGAAGACAAATACCACGCAACAAGCGATCAATGGAAACAATTGATTAAAAAAATCATAATTACCCTTAAGTTATAATAATCCAAAATCGGGTAAACGACACTGAGTTCGTTGTAATTACATTATGTAAAATTAGCTTTTTGATGGAGGAAGAACTCCCTTTAACTGGTACTGGGAAAGGGTTCATCTAAACCATAGACACAACAGTTTCCGCTTCGACTTGGCTACGTTTACAACGTCCACCACCAAAGAAGCTACAATTAACGTCTTCCTCTGCTATTTAAAACAATTTCCCTTTCTTTTCAACTTCCGCCTCCACTTCCTTAACAAATTAAAGCGCCGATGAACGATAAACCTGTGTTTTCTTATCTTGAAACTAATTAGCTTATTCATCGTGTGGATTGCTGAAAGTTTTTGTGCGAGTCCAGTGCGAGTAGAAGAGCGCGCGCCAACCATCATTAATTTATTGACGCTATTATATTTACAAATTCACAATGAGAGAGCAGGGATACGTAAGAGGCATTGTAGAGCTTGTACCAGGCGAAGAATTGAAGACGTGTGCAGGATAGTAAAAACTTTTTTTTCCTGTCAAATAATAATAAATAATAAATAATAACATATTGTAACGTGATTTATATATTCGGGTTCGATTTATATCAATATTTATTAAACAAAACTAAAACACTATAAAATCCGTACAATTTATATCGATTATTTATATCACACACTTCGCAATTTATATTTCCGCGCTCTATGTTTCATACGTACTCGATCTCGTTCGGTAGTAGACTGCCGCGATGTTCGGTCCGCAACCATTTATACACGCAAGCAATGTAAGTCCAGTACATTCTCGAATATTCCTACAAAATCCCACTATCGCGCGCGTAGAAAATTCCAGAGCGCCAAAGGCGACGTCATGTCTGGAGCATTTACGTTACAATATATTGGTTTAACTTACATTTTCGTTCTATAATAGCGGTGGAAACAAAAGAACTTTTCACCGTTTTGCGTAACTCAGCGGTAATAATCTGAATTTTTTATATATCGCTTGTTCATTTTCTTCTTATGAATTTCAAACTTGATTCAGGAAAAGGAATAACTTCATTAAATTAAGGTTAAAGGAAAGAAGATTATGGATATAAAACAAAGCGGACGAGCAGATTACGCACAAACATCAGTTTATAAATTGAACTCTCAAAGTTTTTCGACTGTAGTTAGCTATTTACGAAAATAATTCCCAGTTGAATTTGTCACGTCTGGCTCTAGTTGTATGACTCATACACTTTTCATCTTATTTTAATAAAACTTACCTCAACAATTCGCGTCCCTTCGAATTCCTCAAGTTGTTTTTGAAAGCCCAAATTGGGATTGGCCACAGCGCGACCTGCACGTACAACTTTCAAAGCTTCTTTCCATGACAAATTTGTTGCGGACATTATGTAAGCTACGGCCACCGTTACGCTACGTGACATTCCGGCGAGGCTGGAACAAACGTATTAAATATGCGTATTAAATATGCAAACGCCATTGGTTGCAACGTATGGGTCAGGACGAGTGCGTGCTTTGACGACGCATTCGGTTCGGCAACTTTCATTTGAGAGATACGAAATTCAGCATAACAAACAAAAACTATTTCATATTGTCGATTAAGGATACGAATATGCAACAGGTGCCTTTTATAGGACGAGATTTTCTTTCTTAATTTACAATTGTTTCAGCAGGAAATCGTTATATGACTCAATAAGCACGCGCTACTCAAAGAACCCTACAAATTAGAGGTGCATGCTTAACTGAAGAAAAAATTGTGAACTTTTCATTTAAATTGTAGCCGCCCATTGAGATTTGAGCAGATTAATTGTATGTAATCGTAATTAATCTGTGGTGATTTTGTCGTGTGCTGATAGCTAATTAAAATAAACAGAATTTTCATTATAATACTTGGTGAAGTTCGTCTATATATATTTCGATTGCAGGAAAATCGTTTCAGTAACGCACTCTGCTTGTAACTGTTTGGTAGTATTTTTAATTAAAAAAAGAAATGCGTTTAGTTTTGTTCACTTTGGTATTGTTCGTTGGGCTGTTTTTGACATATTTTAATTAAGGCGTTTCAGTCTATATAAACAATAAACTTTTTGAGTTTTGATTCTTATATTCTTTGGTTCTTATTATTGATAATTTCCATTTCGAAAGCGAAAGTTTCAAGAAACAAATTAAATCCCTTACGATTTGGCCTTGGAGTACGCATTTAGTAAAGTATATTGCGAAAGCGAGAAGTTGGCTGAGAGCAGACGATAACAATGTCCGAATATGTAACGGCAGAGGCCAGTTTGGATATAAATTTTGTAAATTTTTCTCGAACTTTGGTTAGAATTTGAGTTTAAGAGAGTCCGATAAAAAGTCGTCGTTTGAACCGTATTGGAAATTAAGTCCGTCCTTTGCACATCATTCAAGTTCCAATACCCCCTTTGTCTTCGTAAAGAGTTCAGGATATTAGAACGCCGCGATAACGCAACGGTACCACAAATTCAACCTTTTTTAAGACCTAGATAAAGTTACATCAGTGAGATCAACATAATGTAAATTCAGACTGTGGAAACCTTGCATCAGCACTCCTTTGTAGGAAAATTTGATTAGCTCGGGATTGGTTGAAAAGAAAGCACTAACCAATAGGGAATTTCGCCATTTTAAATAATTTCGCCATTTTCGTTTCCATTAAGAATTCAGCCAACGTATTAACTCCGTGGCCGAAATAAAGCTGAGTTAAAAATGTGCGTCGTAATTGCAGCCAAAAAAGTAATGGTTCCGGTGTTTCTCTAAAGAATTCGGAACGAAAGTTATTAAAACGCGAAGTAAAGAATGCAATATAATTAGATAGAATTTCCTGAGAAAAGTTGTAAAACAAGAAAATGTGATTGGAAATATAGAGCATCATACATTTTTAGATCATTATTTGCAAACCGTTACGGTAGTTTGTTTCGACAAGCAAATTGCTCAATTAAGTATAGAAATTTGAACGAAATTTCAAAAAAAAAAGTTCTTGAGTAACTAATTGGCCATTTTGTCCTTAAAAGCTAGCCGGGATAAAAGGAAATTTATATGAAATTTCCAATTTTTGATTCAGGAACCATAAGAGAGTTCAAGACCCTTAAATGAAAGAAGACTTATTTCAATCAACCGCCCAAGAAGAAGTGATCATACAAACAATCCAGAAAGCTCCTTTAGGAGTCAGGAGATCCAGATTTCATTCTATATTGTCCAGCTTTGCCATCAACTCTTCGAGAAGGGCAGTATTGATTTCTACCAAAGGGAAACCATCGTTTCCCGAGAACGCTATAATTAAGGTAACGTAATTCTATTGATTTGTATTCAAAATAACTATCGGTTCCCTTTAAGAAATTATTAAAAAATAATATTTGAACTCATTTAGAAGGATTTTGTACTTTTTTTTAAATTGTCATTCCAATTTGTTGTTAGCTTGTATGAAATTGTCATATTTATCATTGTTATTGAGGGTTACGTTGGGGCGAGTTGGAAAAGAAATGTTGCCACTGTGTAGGGATTACATTTGCAGTAGGTACTCTTCGCAACCGTAAAATACTTCAATAAAAAAAAGTAAGAGGAAATGCAACTTGGATCCATTTTTATTTTGAAAATCACTCAACCATTTCACTTTAAATGTTGTATACAGTGCGTTTATCTTATATTGGAATATACGATTTTGCATGCAATGGTGTTTCCCTACGTTCCATTTAAAAAAAACGCATCAACCTATACAGGGTGTTTTTTTGGGAGCTTTAGTTAAACGTTTCTGGGAAAGTAAAATACGTAGGTTTTTGAAAATTTGTACTTAGGAGTTACTCTGAAGGCCGAATCGATGTAAAATATTTTCAAAATGTCCGCACTTCCGGAAACACCGGAAGTAGATAGTAATTCCGTTATTTTAAATGGCAACCCCTATTTTTTATTGCATTTTTGGATTCTACGTGAAATTTCAGTTCTTTTGATACCCATATGTCGATATCTGCCATTTATGATTTTTAAGTTATTTTGACTTTAAGAAAAAAAATGGCGGATGCAGATGGTACCTTGATAATTGATTACTTGAAAACGGTTATAGTCATGGCAACCCATTTTTATCAGTGCATAGAGAATGAATAGGGCTTTCTTTTAGTGTACTTAAAAAAAAGTTAAGTTGCGTACAACCGCACCTATGGAGATCCAAATTGAAGAAACTTCAAAGTCCATAAACTCAGTTTTTTTAAATGGAATGACCATGTTCTTAATATTGCATGAGATAGAGAATCGAAATTGGCATATTTTGATATTACATGTTCCTATAGCTATCTTTAACAGTTTCTGATTTATTCCCATTTCATTGGATTGATCTCGGAATTGATGCCAGTTTTTTTCGCATTTTCTTTTTAGTAGTTGGCCATGATTTTATAACAATCGAATTTTAAACAAATCAAGGAATGGAGTCTTTAATACCATTGATTCTAGTTCTAGTCTAAATAATTCATTAATAAATAACTCATTTATTAAGGATATAGGACGGAAAATTTTTGAAAAATTTGTTAATCTTGCATTTGCAATTCAATTCATTTTCTTAAATATTCTCTTGTAGAGCTTTGTATCACTTGTGCTTCAACCGTTTGTAGTGCATTAGGGGTACAAAATTTCCAAAATTCATACAATTTCGTTCCAGTTTTAGAATGAATGTACGGAAAGCACGCGCCGCGATTCTGCCCATTTCACCATAAATAACAATTAAATTCCAAAATAGGTGAAACCACTGCGAGTCATTTTTCGATTTTTGAAAAACTTATGTTAACCTATAACAGTGGGTGATGGATTAGTGTCACTAGATTTGTTTAAAATTCAATTGTTATAGAATCATGGCCGACTACTAAAAAGAAAATCCGAAAAAAATAGTGTCAATTCAATAAAATGGGAATAAGTGAGAAACTGTTAAAGATAGCTATAGGAACATGTATTGTCAAAATATGCCCATTTCGATTCTCTATCTCATGGAATAGTAAGAACATGGTCATTCCATTTAAAAAAACTGAGTTTTTAGTCTTTGAAGTTTCATAAATTTGGATATCCATAGGGGCGGTCGTATGCAACTTAACTTTTTTTTAAGTGCACTAAAAGAAAGCCCTATTCATTCTCTATGCACTGATAAAAATAGGTTGCCATGACTACAACCGTTTTCAAGTAATCAATTATCAAGGTACCATCTGCATCCGCCATTTTTTTTCTTAAAGTCAAAATAACTTAAAAACCATAAATGGTAGATATCGACATATGGGTATCAAAAGAAGTGAAATTTCACGTAGAATCCAAAAATGCAATAAAAAATAGGGGTTGCCATTTAAAATAACGAAGTTACTATCTACTTCCGGTGTTTCCGGAAGTGCGGCCATTTTGAAAATATTTTACATAGATTCGGCCTTCAGAGTAACTCCTAAGTACAAATTTTCAAAAACCTACTTATTTTACTTTCCCAGAACCTTTTAACTAAAGCTCCCAAAAAAACACCCTGTATAGGATATGTGCGGTTCACAACTACACACACACACGTATTGGATAATGTGCGAGTCACACCTGAACCAGCCTTTAATTATTTTTAGGTTATTGTACGTTGAAATGGAAGGTATTGGTTCGTCAGTATACTGGACTGCAAGTAAATCGCGGGTATGTTTTGCACTGGTATGACATTTGTATAAATTTATAATTTCAATTTTCATCTCTTTAGACAGCATTTTTGACATTTATCTACAGGGGGTAGATTTGAAGGTGACAGTTGTACATTGCACCTACTACCCATTTGACCTACTCCTATTAGGTTGAAGCCTTTTTGTTTTAAATGGAACATAGGATAAATAACATTGCATGCAAAATCGTATGTTCCAGTTTAAGATAAAGGCACTGTATATATTGTCTGCAGCTCCAACGAAAGTGCCAAGTTTTTGATTTTCAGTATTAAAGGAAAATGGCGCTTTCTTCCGTAAGGTAATTGCATAATTAGAATTTGTTTTTGAAGCTAGCCGTTGATCGGTCAAATAATATTGTTTAGACAAAAATGTATCATTGCAGTATTGTTGATTTAGTAGGTACATTTTCAACCCCTTATTGTAACATTTACACAGATTACAAATCTTACGTGAGGAGATTGTATCAAGTTTACTTCCTACCGTTGAGGGGATTTATCAAAGTTGAGTTGTCACATGCCTCAAATATTGCGAAAAATTTTCAGGAGGAAATCACTGGCGTGCGAGATTAGTGTTATATATTATTAGAGTTGGCAACAGTGTGTTATAGAAGTTGGTATTATGAGTTTACTTTCAATAAAGAAATATAAAACATGGCGCAGTCTTGTGGAAATTAAATTAATAAAAAGCTTTGTGCACTGTTTAAATTAATAAAAATGAGTGACGTAAGGTTGCCGCCGCCCATGTCGTTTGAGGGAAATCTTTCCGAGAATTTTAAGAGGTTCCAACAACATTTGGGAATTTACCTAATTGCAAGTGGCAAGGATGAAAAAGGGGATAAAATTAAAATAGCTACCCTATTAAATCTCATTGGTGATGAGGGAGTAGAAGTGTATAATACCCTTAAGTTAACCGAAGAAGAACGGAAGGTATATGCAACCGTATTAAACAAGCTAGACGCTTATTTCACACCGAAAAAGAACGTTGTTTATGAACGATTTGTATTCTACAATAGGAAGCAAGATGAAGGGGAATCGTTCGATCATTTTCTGACGGACCTAAAGAAATTAGTAAAAAGCTGCGAGTTTACTGAATCCGATTCCATGGTTCGAGACAGAATTGTATTCGGCATTCGGGGGAAGGCGCTGCAAGAGAAATTGCTGCATATGGACGATTTAGATTTAAAGAAAGCTGCAGAAGTGTGTAGAGCAAATGAGATAGCTTGTGCACAAGTTAAAGATGTGCAAGGGACCAGCAGAGACAATAAGATAGATGCGATAAGAAAGACCCATCCTCGGGGACATCACAAGAGGTCAGAACACAATCGACATGGCCAGCAACGAGGCCAGCAAGTACGTGAAGGTAAAGCAGAAGCGTTCAATTGTCGTAGTTGTGGATACACACATGTCCCACGAAAATGCCCAGCTTATGGGAAGCGCTGTGTTCGTTGCTCCAGGTACGGACACTTCCAGAAAATGTGCAGAAATGACAACAAACGAGTGCAAGAGATCCAAGGAGTGGAAGACCACAGCGACTCTAGTTACAGCCATGGAGAAGACAGCCCAGACGATGAATTTTTAGTGGCAAGTGTTACAGTTAATGAAATTAAAAATTGTAGTGAGTGGACAGAATCCTTAAAAATCTGTGAAAATAAAATAAAGTTTAAAATTGACACTGGGTCACAGGTAAATATTCTGCCAAAATATGTATTTGAGCAAATTCACACAGCAGATAACAATGTTAAATTGCAAAAATGTGGTCTCACATTAGAGGCATATGGGGGATTTAAAATTTTGCCTTTAGGATCAATAGATGTAAATTGTGTATTTAAAAACAAGACGTTTAAGGTACAATTTATTGTAGTTAAGTATAAGTATAATGTAACACCTATACTAGGTTTAGAAAGTTGCATAAAATTAAATTTGATATCTAAAGTAAATTCAATAGTAAGTATAAATAAGGAAAATTTGATTAAGCAAAATCGAGATGTATTTACGGGACTTGGTAAATTTAGTAAACAATGCACATTAAAGTTAAAAAGTAATGCACAACCAGTTGCAAGACCACCTCGTAGAATACCCCTCGCAATTAAAAATAGATTAAAAACTCAATTAGATAGTTTACAGAAGAGAGGTATAATTTCGAAATATGATGAGCCTACTGAGTGGCTGAGTAACCTAGTGATAGTAGAGAAAAAGGATAATAGTTTAAGGTTATGTTTAGATCCACGAGATTTAAATGAAGCTTTGGATCGAGAATTCTGTATTATTCCAACCATTAACGAAATACGATCGAAACTACAAGGTCAAAATTATTTTACAGTTTTAGATTTTAAGGAGGGTTTTTATCAGGTTGAACTAAGTGAAGAATCTCGTAAATTATGTGCGTTTGGTACACCTTTTGGAGTTTATAAATTTAACAGACTTCCATTTGGACTCAATTGCGCACCTGAATTTTTCCAAAAGTTAAATGATGAAAATTTTGGAGATATAGAAGGATGTATAGTGTATTTTGATGATTTACTTATTTATGGGGATTCTCAGGAATCACACGATAAGGTTTTAAGTAATGTTATTCGTCGTGCTAGGCAATTAAATGTAAAATTTAATAGCAATAAGATTCCGTATAGAGTAAATGAGGTGAAGTATCTTGGTAACAAATTTAACAGTGAGGGAATGCAACCAGATGAGGAAAAAATTAAGGCAATTTTGGGTCTTAAGCCGCCCACAAATAAAAGGGAATTGCAAAAGATTTTAGGTATGATTAATTATCTCAGAGCGTACATTCCTAAACTGTCAACCTTGTCTGCACCTCTTAGAGAATTGCTTAGAAATGATACAGTATGGATGTGGAACAAAAAACAAACTGATGCTTTAAATGAGATAAAAGCGGTAATCAGCTCGCCACCCATTTTAGCTAATTTTAACGAAACAAAACCAATTGTTATTCAAACTGATAGCAGTCAAAGTGGACTTGGCTGTTGCCTAATGCAAAATGGTAAACCTGTTGCATATGCGTCGCGTGCCTTAACAGATGCTGAATCTCGGTTCAGTCAGATTGAGAAGGAGTTTACAGCGATATTATGGTCCTGTACAAAATTTCATAACTTCATTTACGGCAGACAAATCATAATTCACTCCGATCATAAACCATTAGAATCGTTGATGCGGAAAGGAGTTGCTGAAGTACATTCGCCTAGATTGCAACGGATCAAAGTCAAACTTTTAAAATACAACTTGACTGTGATTTACAAACCAGGAAAAGAAATGTATATTGCAGACCTGCTATCACGAAACTATCTGCAAGAACCAAGACAAGACGACAAATTTATTACAGAAGTGGTTCACTCCATCAATATGACCCAAGAGAAGAAAACAGAATTCCAGGAAGAGTCGAGACAAGATAGCGAAATACAGAAGATCATGTTTTACCTTATCCAGGGTTGGCCATCGGACGTTTCAAAAGTACCAATTGAATTGAAGCCGTATTTTCAAATTCGTAACGACCTCCACAGTTTTGACGATCTACTATTTTACAATGACAGAGTTATTGTACCAAAATCGCTCCGTTCAAAAATGCTACAATTTTTACATGAAGTGCATTTTGGAATCACAAAAACCCAACAGAGAGCTAAGCAGATATTATTCTGGCCTGGACTTAATGGTGACATAGAAAACGTCGTCAAAGAGTGCCCAGTGTGTGAAAAGTATCAAAGAAGTAATGTAAAAGAACCAATGATACTGAGAAAATTTCCAAAATTACCATTTGAAAAAATAGCCAGCGACATATTGGATTATGGAGGACAGTCCTACTTAGTAATCATAGACTACTACTCGAAATGGTTGGAGATCATCAAGTTGGAAAGAAAGACGTCGCAATCGATTATTAGGGCGATGAAGACTGTGTTCTCATGTCATGGGATACCTAAAGAGGTGTATACCGACAATATGCCGTACAATTCCCAAGAATGCAGGGACTTCTCTAGAAAATGGAATTTCCAATTTGTGACCTCAAGCCCCCATTACCCCAAATCGAATGGACTAGCAGAAAGAGCAGTGGGTATTGCCAAAAATATGCTACGGAAATGTGAAGACTTGGATTTGGCCCTTCTTGAATATCGAAACATTCCAGTCACAGGAACAGATAAATCTCCTGCTCAACTCCTAACGGGCCGATTTTTAAGAACAAAGCTACCTTCTGCTAACCACATGTCAATCCCAAATCCAGTAAATTTTGAGGAAGAAAAGAAGAAGCTAGAAGGACAGAGAGAGATATACAGGAACTACTACGACAGACATGCAATGAAAAGGAGAGAGTTTCAAGAAAAAGACAATGTAGTTGTGCAACATGGCAAAACTTGGGAACCAGCAGTAATTACGAGAAAGTTGGAGACACCCAGGTCATACATTGTGCAACAAAACAATGGTCGGTATGTACGAAGAAACAGTAGTCATATTAGACCCTCACGTGGACATCATGACATGAAACAAGATTTTCTGGACTTTGAACAGCATCAGGAAAATCCGGTGCAAACTAATAATAATAATAAACAAACCAACATTCAACCAGTTCATAATAGTACAAACTTTGCCCCAAGAAGGAGCAACAGGGTTACTAAACCACCAACAAAATTTATTGATTATGAATTGAAAAGAAATTGAAGCATGAGGTTGTTTTGAGTTTAGTTTAACTAGATTAAGTGATTAAAAGGGGAGGTGTTATATATTATTAGAGTTGGCAACTGTGTGTTATAGAAGTTGGTATTATGAGTTTACTTTCAATAAAGAAATATAAAACAATTAGTATGTCAGGGGAACAAAAAGTACGTACACTTACCAGTGGATGAGGACGTTTCCATCTCGTAATCGAGCAGCGTGAATGAAGTCGTTGCACAAAGAGAAGTATTGCGACAAGTTCTGGTCGGGCGAATCTGAAGCCATAACGCAGAGGTAATGCTTATCCTAAAACCAAATTATCCATCACCATCTGATTTCCATTTTACATTTTATCTACACTACAGAACGCGAGGATTAGAATCAATACATCGTTCATTATTATGCACAGAATTCATGAATGCTTTACAAGATGAAATGGAATTTAATATACAGGTTCGTGCCATATTATATACCACATTATGTCGACGTGTCACAATTATGGCGACGTTCTTTCATAAGATAACGTAAACTATCAAAACTTTTACGGTTCTACTATAAACCCAAGACAAGGAAATAGTGGTGAGCTTTACGGCAAATTACGTAATTGTATTAGGACGCCTGCTGATCGTCAGGAAAATAAAGATGTTTTCCAATAACCGGGTACAACGGAAACCCATCTTTTACGATTTCGGCATCAACTTTTTATATACATATGTAATAAAAAACGCGCGGTTTCACTAATTCAATAGAAAAAAAGGCGGTCTACAATGTAAAGGGTTTGCTTACTTGTTTTTCGTTAAAAAGTGATTACTTACCAAATGTAAACGGCGAGCGGTGTCGTGGATGGCTACGATGTGGCTTATTTTGTACTTTGCTAACTGAGCGGCATCTTTTGAATCCCTGTAATTACCCACGTACAGGCCCGGTAATACCTGAAACAATATTAATCTGTAAGAACAAAAGGATCATGTGCATTTTAGAGTAGTGCACGTTCATTTGTATCCTTGTTAATTAGTGTGTTATCGTGTTGTGTTCATCCATAGAAAACAAGTATAAATTGTGCACAACTCTTGTGCAGATAAAGCGCATTTTTTTAAACCGAAATAGCTTTTGTTTCGACATCACCAATGGATATATTTCTTGCAGACGTCTCAATCGCCCTTTGTGAGTACCCTCTTCCGACAATCCGTTCTTGAGGTGTAAGGGAATATACGATAAGAGGTCGAAGAGGAGGGCTATGGTTGGTAGAAATTAATTCCTTTCATTAGACTACCATGAAGGATAAAACTAGTTCTACTTCCCCCCCCCCCCTCCGCGCCTTACTTTGATAAGAAGACAGAAAGAAGGGGAGTATTTGGTAGAAAACGGTTTCTTTCATTGAGACCTTTAATTAGAATACAATGTAATTTTTAACAACCCCCCCCCCCTCCTCAGGCCCCGTTGCTGACTGATCTCGAGAGTCGCACGGAAAAGTTATAGTTTGTACAAACCAATTTATTTCGATGAAACCTTTCATTAGAATACCATGAAGGGTAGAACATGTGTTTAACCCCCCCCCATTTCCTAAACGCAAACAATAGCACATTTTTTTTATTCATAAAAAATGTGAGAATGCTGGCGAAAGAAGTGACTATAACTCTCCTATGACTTACCAGAATTTATCCACGTGTATTTTTGATTTATTGAGAAAGTACCTATTCAATACAGTAAGCGTACTTTCCTCATTCATGCGGTTAATGACAACACAAATACCCGTGTTTTATACACATTCGCGAGTAAAAATGTGATTTGTACGTCGGAATTCATTTCACTATTGATACTTGACGTTTCGAGTCACTAAACCACCGCAATCTGTCCATCTACCTCAATGAAATGATTATAATGATTCTAGGGTAGGTCCAGCCTCCGCCACGACGAAAATTGTTAATTTGAACAATTCAACAGCCTTAACCTCCTCTCCAAAATTGTGTTTATTTAATTGTAAAGAAATTACGTGTTGCAAGTTAGGTTTGCTGTTTTCTGAAAATGTTGTCTCCGGTCATTTCGATAAGAGCGTTATCGCCGCGTGGGCTAATTAGTTTCAAGACAAGCACGTGTTATAGCAGATGTTTTTTCGCCGATAAGAAAACACAGGTGTAATTCGGAGACGCCGTTGGAAGTGGAACGGAAAGGGAATTTGTTTTAAAGAGACAGACGTATATAAATCGTGGCTTGTTTGGTAGTGGACGTTAATCGTTGTTTGTTTTTGTGAGCGCTGAAAGGTACTCGCTTATTGTTTTAGTGATTGACAGATTTGAACGTATTACTGGAAAGTCATTATAATCGTAAAGTTTCTCAGTACCCGTTAAAGAAGGTTTTTCCATCATTAAAGAGCCAAATTTGGCGTCAGTAATTACAACGAACCCAGTGCCGTCTAAATCGAGATTCAACTGCTATAATTAAAGTCCAGGAGTAAAGTTTCGAAGCATTTTCTCCTGGTGTTTTGTGCAAATGCGTGTGTTTGTAAAACGCGGAGCCATCGGAGATTTTGAAGTATTAACACTTCAAGTCATTAAGACTTCTTTTACTTAGTTTGTTCTATCGATCGCTTGTTGCGTGACATTTGTTTTTCTGGACCTGGACGCCTATTACTGTTTCAGTTTATTAAATTTGTGAATGTTGCATAAATTTGTTTAATTTGTAAATGGTTAATTTTGTGTTTAATCGAGTCCAAATGATAACCTAAGTGAGAGTGTTCAATGAAATTGTAACGTTGTTTTCTTACCAATTTAAAATTCAAAATTTAAATTCCGTTTACGTAACTCTTTTCAATTCTTACTGTCATTTAAGTGATATTCTTGCGCCATCTAGGTATTTCCTTTGTAAACCCGTTTAGTTTATATGTCAGTTAATTCTGCAGTAGAGTTGCTATTACTTTAGTTCTTTATTTTGCCGCTAGAGACCATCCGCGTGTCATAGGTTTCATTGACCTTACTTCACTCTTTTGTCGTTAGAGGTCTCGCAATTCTATCCCTTCTTTAACTTTGTCTTACGCACCAGTTGTACTTTTCCTTTTTCAGAGAAGATGCAGGATGCTGCATTCATAGTGGTTGGTTGCAAATTTTTCTTAATATACCATTGCTTTTACTTGACTTTTGCCTACCTGAACTGATGACATTAGCTATTGTCATATTCCTTTATAATTTGTTTCTCTATTTCTGATGTGTTGTGGTTGCTCCAGCGAATACGCTTAGCGGATTTATATTTACAAGTAGTTAGCTGAGAGGTATGTGCGAATATGACTCAAACTTATCTTTTTAGGGCTCTATCTGCTCTCATAGTTTTCTGCTAAGTTTCTCCTAATTTTCTCTTCTGGATTACTTTTTCGTTATTATCTACCTGAGTATTTACGACGCCTTAGATATTACCAACGCAGAACCAGGATGACACCGCATTTTTACATGGTCCCCCCGTCGTCGTGAGAATGTCATTGGCGACGTCACTTCGACAAATTTACACCTGGAGATTTGCATATTGTCCCTGCCAGTATTACGAAACCTTTTGGAGATGATCACTTCGATATTTCTGATCCTACGTACTTTGCTTTTGTCTTTACGGAAGATTACATTTTATCGATACTTCGCTTTCGTATACCTTATATTATTTGTCACTCCGAAGATTCGTTCCCGTTATGTGAATGAAAAAACTCCCAATCTTCCCCACATTCATTTTTTCCGGTTAGTTTGATTACATCGCATCCTTCAGATTCGTTTCTTATACGAAGATATTAGTTGCCGTTGCTTTGTAACTTAGTTTTTGAAGTTACCGGGACCTACTCCGGAACAGATATCGGCGATTTTTATTTACGAGGAATCTGTTCGTGTTAAATAGTTTTATTTTCCTTTCGAATTAATTAGATTACATTGTTGTTGTATAGGACTTTAGTTACTTGCGCATCGTAAAGTAGTTTTTCTGAACTTAACGTCACGTTTATGCTTTTATTTCACCGATTTGTACGGACAATTCGTTGTCGATTAAAATTTTAGTATACGAGTACCTGATTTTTGTGCCGCCCTATTCACTATCCTTCTTGTTTTTTTGTTTGTTGTTATCTGTTAAGAGATAAAGCAGAAAAGTGCCGTTCCGAGCTCAAAAGGCCGTTACGACCAGAGTTTCAAAGGTAATTTTTTTTTTAATGACTCCTTGATATAACGTTTGATCACATACTGGTAATCGATACAATCGACTTCTAATTGCTACATTTGTTTAATAGTCATTTAAAAATTATAGCTCCGTAGTTTTCTTCTCCTTGAAATTATATCTTTCAAAAGCTTTTATTAGTGTCTGCGTTTCTTGGGCTGGGTAGAAATGTGCTTGTGGATGGTTAGTGACCGTTTGTCATTGCACATAGCAGCATATACCCAAGCGAGTACTAAAGCACACAAATTGTAAAACAAAGACATTATAGAAACGAGTATCGTGTGAAGCTAACAACAAAATAGAAAGCAAAAAATGGAAAAAAAGAGGATCGTCTAAAAATATTAAGGGACATTCTACAACAGGCGGGATGTGCGTGTGGAGCAACAACAGTACGGAAACGTAAAGACACGGCGTGGTAGAATAATGAAATAAAGAATGAAGTGACAAAGAACAAAAAATTAATGAAAGTATATCTGAGGAATTATGAGAAGTACAAAACTCAAAAAAAGATGGTAAAAAGAACAAATTATAGTACAACTATAAAAATGAGAGGAATTTGGTAGGATGGAGAAAGATAGTAAGGGAAACGCAAAATTGCTATATGAAACTGTAAAATATTTGAAAGGGTACAAAACAAATGAAAAAGGGAATAGAGGACAAAGTTGCTATTGCTATTTATTGTCAGATGAACAAATAACAAAATAGTGGCAGGAATATTTTATGAAAATATTGATGGGCGACTCAAAGGCAACTGAAAGTAACAATGACGAAATAAAGAATACACGCTATTTTTTTTTTGGGGTTGGATCCATCGTTCCTCGAAATGGGGGGTTGAAATATATTGTGTGATCAAAACTCTCTAAACCTTCCCCATATAGTTTTTATTCGTTGAAGTTTTTAAAAAATAAAACCAATGTGGGAATATGAGGTAGACCGAATTAACATTTATTTATGTAACAAAGTAAACTGAACACTTCAACTAAAACTTAAGAACACAATGTATGTCTGTAAGTAATAAATGTCTGTTTGTATATAGGTATTCAATATTTGTATGTGTCTGATTTTTACAAAGTTTGACAAGTGACAAGTGATCTCGCCACACAGCCGACTAATACTACATTTCTCTCCCACGGAAGAAGAAAACACAATAAAAGAAAATTAGTCCAGATATCGAGCAGGAAGCTTTCTGTTTCTCACAGGGTTCCTCCTTGGTGCATCATCATTTGAGTTACTACCTGATATGTCTTCAGGTAGGCTTGCCTGATGATTTTGGCTGTTCTGATCCGATGTTTGGTTCTGTGTTAGCACTTGTGAGGGTATTGAATCTTCTGAGATTTCCTGTAAATCATTTGCTTCGTTATCAGAGACACCCACCGTCTTCTTCCTCATTTGGTCACAATGTTTTCTTTTGTTAGTACCATTTATATTAACTATATAGGATAGTGGACCTGTTTGACTTATTATTTCGCCATGTGATGAGCCCTTTTCGAGAGGATTATTTACCCATACTTTCTCCCCTTTTTCAAAATATTGTTCCGTGATGGCGGTATGGTCATGATTCTTTTTCTGAACGAATTTTTCGTACTCCATATTTTTGTCTATGTCTGGTTTTAGTAAATCAAAACGGGATCGAAGGTGACGTCCGAACATCATCTGACTTGGCGTTCTCTGTGTTGACCTCCTGACAATATTTCGATAACAAAAAAGAAAACTCTGAAGTCTTTGGGATTGGTCTAATGTTCGGTCACTTGCGTACATTCTCTCTTTGAATGTTCGCACTGTACGTTCCGCTAGCCCATTTGATTTTGGATGGTAAGGTGTTATTTTTACATGTCTTATTCCATTTTCGTTACAGAAAAGTTCAAATTCGTTTGAAGTCAGTTGGGGTCCATTGTCTATGACCAGAAATTTTGGCAGACCAAAACGTGCAAAGATGGCCCGCAAGGAGTTTATTGTGCTAGTAGCCTTTTATTTTTTAAAAACTTCAACGAATAAAAACTATATGGGGAAGGTTTAAAGACTTTTGATCACACAATAGAATACACGCTAAACAGATCTACCTGGAGACAGTATAAATTCAAAATAGTCATTAGAAGACTGAAGAATCAAATGCATGGACGATGTGGAATATTATTAAATAGATGGACACATACTCGGAAACTGGACGCTAGCAGTGAAAGACCGGCCATATATAAGAAGGACTACGCAAACGTACAGGGGAATTTCATTATTGGTGGTCGCTAGTAAAGTTCATGAAATTATATTACGACATAGAGTAAATAATATTTACTCTATGATTACGAGTAGAAGGAAAACCGATGTACAAAACGGTAAAGTATCAAAAAATTCACTGCACTTCAGGTTATATACCCTACTGTATACTTATAGGTAGGTCTAGGTATGTACTTATGCTATTTATTTGTAATCAGCTGCGAGGTCGGTTTAATTAGGCTCTTGGAGATAAATTTATCCCAGCGGCGCCGGAAGGGTAAGGCGACTAAGGCATCGAACTTAGGCCTCGCGCTTGATAGGCCTCGCACCGGTGTCTGAAATACCCATTGAACTGTATACTAACGTAACAACTTAGTATACAGTTCAATGGAAATACCATTGAGAAGATGTAATGACATCCATAAATACCAGTAATAATTTAATAAAGTTTCACGACTGCCAGAAAATGTTTTTGTGTGCATTGCAATTTGCAAGGTGAATGTTCTTTGCATTCGCTTAACACTTTCTGTTACAGCCACAGCGGAAGTTTGAATGACCCTTAGCATATCATAATTCATTGAATGAAAGAAAATTGCTGAAACGCCAGAAATTGCACCATTTAGTTCCTCTTTTTGTTTTCACACTCCCACTCAGTCGTCAGCTATATCAAGTTTCCTATATAATGTGGTCTTTATTTAAACAAATATTTTATGCCAATTTATATCATATTCGCATGGGGCGAGATTCAGCTCAAGTTAAACGCGCGTGCTGTAAAGAGATAAAGATATTTTTATACCTTACTACCAGTGTATAATGATCTTTGCTACCAGTAGACTAGTACGTACCTACCTACAAAGATTATACATTTATGATTGTGATTATTTAATTGTTTTCAATTTTCCATTCGACGGATTTTACTTCATTTATTGACCAATTTCCCTACATTAATGTAAGTACTTTTAACTTTGCCTACTTGTTTGTACCTAATTTGTAATAAGCGCTTAGTAACGTTCTTACTATCCTATTTTTATTACCTAATAGACACCCTCTTACATGGCAACGTGAAGTTGTGATGATATGAATGACTAATACTAATAACTAACAACACTATTATATAACTTTTATAATTATAATAATAATGTTTATTTGTGCTCATTGTGCAGCTATGGCTTTACACTAGTCAATAGGTATAGAAAAACGGGCATCTTATGACACATACGCATACCTAACATTATGCATAATTTCAGTTTACATCCGCAAATTTACCTTTATGTTATCACATCTGTGTTTACCATATTTTCCCGAGAACTACCCTACCTAGCATAGGCCTCTTCGGCGCATTTTGCCTTAGGCCTCCTAAAGCCTAGCGGCGCGGCGGCGCTGATTTATCCCTGTAATGCCACCTGTTCGGGCTAATCAGCAATCACTTCACCTCGCCATCTCTGATCAGATCTACGTCATTTTTTGTAGTTTTGTCAGTTTCTCAATTCCTCGAACTCAACAGTTAGGTACCTTGTGTTTGTGATCGAGTATTAATTACTCGAAGTTAATTTCTTTTAGTTATCTATTCCATTTCTTATTGAAGACCTTCGTTTAAAAGAATTATAAAGTTGAAGATTTGAATCAATAGCTATCCTATATTGGGGAATCGGAGTTGGAGATACGTTACGTAGTTTTTGGTTTGCGTTTATTTAACTATTTACTGTATAGGTACATAGGAAATTGAAAGCAAAATTTGGTCTAAAGGTCGATATCTCTACATCTTTCGGGCAGGCGGGTACGGTAGATTAAAAACAATAAATGTCTTGAGAATATGTTATGAATCAAATTGGATTTTTAATGCGCCATTCTTAGCAAGTTCATTTTTTAATAGTTTAATTTTTTTGCATGTGCCCGCCTTTGTTAAAGTCCATTTACACGTACAAAATTTACTCTTCCAACTCACATTCACATTGTGCACGACTTACACGTGACATATCACATATCTATACATTCTCAAGTAGACATAGAAGTACTGAAATCACATTTGAAAAATCTCTTGTCGCACGTCTATAATGGATTTCTCATCCTGTGTGAGTCTTCACGCACTGCTAGTCCATTAAGTTGGGAAAGCGTAAATACATTCTCGAAATGTGTTTGATTTGATCCCTTCCGGTGTTCGTGGCATGAGCAAACCCCGCCACAATATAATAATGGAATATAAACTTTCAAGGAAGGGCTTATCCCAGAAGTTGCAAAGTTTCACTCAAAACTGCTGCATTTTAACATTGAAGTCGCTTTGTTTTTTTTAATAGTCGTTGTGCATTCGCATTTCCCCATGGAACATCTCTCTTTGAAACTGAATTTCGTATTTACACAAGATCTCCCCGAGGTTACCAAACAAATCTGTTACCTATACAAGGGCTTGGTTTCGTTCGGCTAAATATATACCCGCTCTTTGAAAATCAACCATTCGTATAGTAAAGTTTATAATAGCAATGCGAGCGCATTTCATCTGTTGAGCACCCTTTACGAATTTATACTGGAATTGAACGAAAAATGACATACCTGAGAGGCGCCAAACTTAAACATTTCCCTATTCTCCATTTCGTATCGTAAAATCGAACTTCCATCGCATATAAAAGCGACCATCTTACTTTTGTGTAACAGCACGAGGACGGGTTTTGTAATCTTTTTCTCGATTTTGTCACAATGTAATTTTGACAGTAGAAAGCGAACTGACCTGAAAAGGAAATTCGTTTGTTAAATTATCGGACGAGTTTTTAAGGTTTCTTAAAAAGTCATTCGGGTTCAAGTATTAGTTGGAAGGTAGACGTTTTGAAGGAAGTTATTTTGGGGGATTTTATACACTCGCGCACATGTTTTCTATCCCGACAATATAGGATAAATCCCCTTGCGTTTATAAAGCTTTAGAAATTGGGAAGGTTAATCCAACGCACACGTTGTTGGTATCGTTACTTCGATAACAATTTAATCGCGCAGGTAGGTCAGCCCTCGTTTCATTTAATAACAATGTGTGGGTAATTTTGATATCCTTTTTCGGATTTCCACCTAATTTTACTGCCATTCGGCATTTAAAAAAGCATTCATTATTGCTTAATTACTGAAATTAGGAGTAGTTTTTTTTTCTAAATGGTACCTACCTACTATACCTATACCGCTATACATACAAGACCTTACTTTTAAAGGAACAATTATCTTTAAATGGAAGTGGAAATTATACGCTACCATTTTTTATTTCACATATAAATCCCTGTTTTATTTCAGATATTAATTCTAGATATTTTCTTTTAGTAAGGTAGGATCGTGCCAATGTTAAACCGAAAGCCAACGATTCGCACACTTCCGTAAGGAGCTTCATCAGGGCAAGAAAGAAACAAAATTACAATGAAAAAAATATTACTATGTAAACAATGTCAATATGGACGTTGAGGTTTGGTTCAGACGCCTGAATTAATAACGGGTCATTACTTGTTGGTCAAATTTTTTTTTCAAATTATTTTAATTATTCTGTTGAGTCCTTTACGTGTGAACACAAAGCGAGTATTGAGTTTGTAGTTGTATCCAAGTGGTTTGTTTTTTCCTTATAAAAGATTATTCCCTAGAATTGTGAAATGCAGGGTAATGGATTGTTCATTTTGTTATAGTTTTTGCTTTATTAAATCATTTAAGTGACAGTCCTGTTTTAATTTATGAGCACTTTGATTACTGTTGTTAAAAGGTTGATGTAATTTATTAGCAATAAGAATGCGTTCGGAATTGGTAGTTGTTAAGTGGATTCAGATTTTAGAATTTTGGAGTTGGGAGAGGGACTTTAAATAATGAAATTGGTGTAAGAAAGGGGCATTTTGTCAATTTCGAGTAGAAAACGCGCGTCCTACGTTAGGTTTCGTATTGTTCGACAAGTAAAGTTCATAACGCTTTAGTGGGGAAGTTCGAGTGAAAGTTTTGAGTAGACGTGAAATTTGAGTGAAGGAGATTCATTAAAGTTATTCGTCTGTTGTTTTGAACAGCCATCGTTTCATCGGCGGTGTGTTTAGCTAGCCAGTCCAATTCCATGCAGAAAAATTACGTTTCCGAGGGTCCCGAAGAGGAGATAAGTTAAAGACAAAAAAGGGCACCAAGATTGTGAGTGCGTTAGTTCTCTGTCGCAATTAGGGTTTTTTCCCGGATTTTTTGGGATTTTAACAGACAACTGTAAGTAGTTTTAAATTGCATTAATTAGTTTAATTGTTATCGAACGCTTGTGCGGGGTGTGTAAACGAACTTTGTTATAGTCCTATTTTTTTTCTAGAATTTTGTATTTAATTCGATTTGTGTTTTTTTAGAATAAATGTTGTCTGTGGTAATTCCTGTAACTCGTGTGTTTATTCGAACACTTTAAGGATCCAGATAGATGTCACATAGTTAATTTATTATTATGATTAATTTTGTTGATCCGTACCCAAAGTTTATTTCAAGTGTCTTCAAATTTTGTGTAAGTAATCGTTTAGGAATTTAAGGAATTTGATCGTGGTCATGATTTGCCGTAGAATTTGGAGTTGGAAGTCGAGATTGTGCCGTGATTCAGATGTCTTCACTCTTCAGAGCTCGGTTTAACGTATTTTGTGTATGGTTCATTTTCCCATTGCCATTGCACACAGCATTATTATTTGTCGCATAACATGGACCATTTCATTTATTTTTTATGCGGTCCGAATGTTAGGGTCACAGTAATATATAAAACTGTTACCAATGAGCCAACCGGAGCAACACACACTACTATACACCAACATCACACGCTGAAACAATCAAAAGAAAATGTTAAATCTGGCTATTTAAGCCTATTCCGTCGTGTCACATCAGCCAGATAACAGATTTCTAAAACTGTGAAAGTGACCATTATTGATTTACATTTAAATTGGATTTGTCAGTTACGATTCGAATCTCAAATGGAATTGTTTATTTTATATAAAGTGTAACCTATAACGTTTGCATCATACATAAAGCAGATGATGTATTGCCTGCATTTGACAGTAGTTATTGATTTAAAGATATAATTCAGGTAACGTATGGTTTTTTTGTATTTTAGCGGTATATTTAAAATTTCGGCTTTATCTCAGCACAGCGCTCCCAATTTTTCTTGTCATAAATCTACCCAAATTAAGTTTTGAATGTGCCAATACCACATTATTTGTTACCACAAAGTACATAACAGGCAAAGCAAACAACTTTTTTTTACAACGAGTTAATAACCTAAGGAGTAACCACAAGTCAACGAGTCAGTAAGAAAAATCAACATCATTGGCGTAACCAATGTGGAGGTAACCAATACCTATACATTGTGAAACATCACAATCCCAGAAGTCCGATGCGCATCTTTTCAAGAGTGCTTAACCAAAAGTAATAGATATATAACTTTCGAACAAAAATCTTGACCAAGTAAGCTGAGTTGCAACGATTAACAATCACACATTAACTGTACATTACGACATACAAAAACTAGTGCAGGGAATCGTAGACAAAATTACAGTTATAATTACAGATGAGAATTTAACCTTTGTGTGTTAGTCATTGAAATTGTTATAGCTGCAATTATTAAAGGGAAGATGGCGCACTCTTGTTTGAGGTATAGAATATAAGGCGTAATTCTTTTCTTAACGATGATTTTCTGGAATCCAAAGGTAAATACCTTAGGTATATGTATCTAGTGATAACCATCAACGAAATAAGGAGTTCAAATATTTAAGTTTGGGGTTATATAATTAATACATTATTTACAAAACCGCGGATCCTACGCTTATAAAACGTGACGCTCACAAAGCAGAAGCACAAGTGAAATCTACCACACTCCCACATACCCATTTTCACTGATGGGTCCAAAAACACGGAAGGTACAGATATTAGCATTGCAACAGATGCCCGTTTTGCCGTTGTTTGCATTTTGTTCAACATAGGAAAAATTAGACATATACCGCTTCATAGCGAACGTGAACAAAAGTATGTGTGGCGATAACAAGTAAAAACAAGAAACGTATTGGGGAAAGCGACGCGGTTGTCACGATCCCATCGAGCCTACAAGTTGCATTCATTCCATTCAAACGTGTTTTCTATTAGTTGTTAACGCACTCCGATCGAGGTCATTGCGTTCAGAAAGGAAGGCCCGTTTGCATATTTGTAAACGGCAGACGCGTTCCTCACAACTATTTCGGAATGAGAACTCGGTTTATTCACGATTGAGTGTATGCCATAATGGTGTAGTGGCAAAGATATTCGGCTTGCAGACGGGTGGCTCTTTGCATGAAAAGTTGTTTAAATATTTTCTTCACAAAAATGCGTGTTCCAATTCAGCGGAGTTCGAGGGAAAAAAATGTTTAGCAACCTGATTCGTAGCAAGGCCTTTGTTTTACGAGTGGTAAAATATACGCGAGGGAACATTTTCGAGTCAGACTTAGATAAACTGATTACACTCATTGTGAATTTTTTTCGGATCGCTTACAGTAACGGCTGGTTAAAAATATGTTTCTAAAAGTTGAGTGATGTCATCGGATAACGCATTGTGTTAAGGCCCGTACGTGGGTTTTTATCTTAAAAATGAAGGCAATTGAAAATGGACTGGAATTGAAATTAGTTATTCGTTGGTATGACAATAGTTGTTCTCTTTTTCTACACACTTGATATTTAAATAATAATGTTTTTATCACTGGTGCAGATTGCACGTAAACAAACTGTACCATCGAAGCGGTCTGTTTCCATATTTCTAAAGCAAACGACATTCTCTAAGGAGAAATAAGATCAATTGTTACCAGAAGTGAATATATTATCACATCAGTTACTGTAAGCTATTTTAAATTTTTTGGTTTGTATAAAGTAGTGAGCGGTTATTTGGATATTAATTTTTTTGAAATAATTTTGATATTCCTAAAGGAAACGACCCGTGAGCCAGACCAAACCAAAATACTCAATACGCAATATATTGCGATGATGTTGGTCAGACAAGTTTAGAACCACGTCCTCAGCCTGCGTCCTCAAACTCGTCTCGAGAGTGGTTTTGAGTAATTTATCAGGAGCGGACGACTCTAGTCAGAAGAGTAAGAGTACAATGGGTTATAATATACGGCCTAAACACGCGTGGCATCCGCACACCTTCCTCTCTAAATGTAGAGCCCAGACTTAACAAAGAACTTGCAAACAACACAAATGCAGTCACCAGACCGAGAAATAAGCCAATATTGAACCACAATTAATCATTGTGTCTGTTAAATGTTCTCTTTCAGGAATTCCTAATCATGTGAGAAACATTATGCTCGCCAGGAGAGAATGCCGGTCACAAAACACTTGATGCTGGTCTACAATAGTATGAAAAATAAACGATTGTAGACCAGTATCAGGTGCTCTATAACCGGCATTCTCTCCTGGCGAGCATAATATGTTTGTATTTTGTATAATAAATCTGTATGTCGAAATTGTTACTTTATTTTATGTTAACGTGATACTAAAGTGTGGGTATCGTACTATTTGAAGTAAACAGTCTGTAAAAATAAAAACCTCCCCTACCCTATGAAGCATCCATCAATAATGATAGCTGGCAGATGGTTTCCAAAAGGAGTTGTCATGAATTTTTTATTTGACGTAGCATTAGGAAAATTACTTTCAAACATCTATTATGGAATATTGAAGCATGCCGCATACGTGTCGTCCGTAAATCATTCCCACAAAGTTTCGGATTTTATATTCATTTGACAGGTAATAAGAATTTCAAAAGGGCAGTAATGATTGTGAGGTCAAGTGACCGAAGAGTAAAACAAATAAATAATAAAGTAATCACATTTTAGCTTTGTTTCGATAACGGTGGTACATGGTCGATTTAGTGTAAGTCGGGGGAT